TCACGGTCACCACCTCGGATAACTCTGGCGTGTCATCAGCAAGAACAGTCAGAGTGATTGTGGACAGTGCCTGGCCTTCCGCAAATGAAAGCTAAAAATTACAAGAAAAAATGATTCAGTTGTAATTATCACCGTACAGTAAGAATATAAAAAAGGTTGCTTTTCTTTTAATAAGGTCATAAGTAATGAAAGATAGGTAAGCAGTGTAATACGATTATACAATTAAATCAAAGGACTTTCACGTGAAAAGTATAAAAAAAGAACAAAGCGAATCCCTGCTGAATCCTAAAGTAATAGATCTTCTGTCTTCCAGATCTCCTATCCTGGACCCCACGTTTCATCACAGCACAAAGTCCTTCAGGAAAGCTAAGTGCTCATACAGTAATGTACAGCTCTACACAAAGGCTGCATACGAGTTTCAACGCTTTCTTTCTACAAAGCTTTCACCAGAATTGCTACACCACACACATGTACCACTTAACGATGAACCTGCCAAAACAGCAGAGAGAGAAAGATAAGGAGAAATGCAATCACCAATCTCTCTCCTCCATTGGTGCCCCCATTGTTTAAAAAGTGAAATCCAAATTTACTCAAAAACCACCCGAAGCCCTGCCAGCTCCCGGCATCCTCTCCCAGCGTGCTCATCTCCTGGGCACGGCCCAGCACCGTGGCAGCATGCTACAACTGCTCAGGCTGGCCACCAGGCCCGTGCCTGGGCCTCACCTCTCCATCCATGGGAGGCATGGAAGGATAGAAACCCAAGAGCTTTATTAATAAAATCAGGGGTCAGAAAACTACGGCCTGCGGGCCAGCTCCAGCTCCCACAAACGAAGCCTTACTGGAAGCCTGGCTCTGACTGCACCTCACCTGCCACTGCTTGTTCTGTCCCAGCCAAGGGAAGGAAGAGAAAGTAGTCATGAGAGAGGACAGTGAAGCTCCAGTCTCCATTCCAATGTTAGCAGAACTTGGAACTGCTGGACTATGATATGTAACTATGATATATCATTGACACTTTCTCAAGATTATAAGGGCTCCTTTAAAACAGGTCTCAGGAAAGCATTCAGGCAAAATACAATGATCAAGCTGTGAAGTGCAGGGCTCAGACAGCCCCTTTCCAACTTGAACAAACAGCTCTCTGTATCCTTTCCTTGTGAGCTATCTACTCCTCTGGCCATTCTGTTCCATTCTTAAGCCTGAGTGTCAGTTTAACCCTGTCCTCCTACAACGCAAGCTTCGAGCCTCTGCCCAGAGCCCGACTCATGCTGCTGGACCCAATCCTCGGCTGTGCGCATGACAGCCTCCACCGTTCTCACTGGGGACAGCCCGTAGCTACAAGTCTCCCCCAGAGCCACACCCTACCTTACAAGTAGCCCAAGGAGAACAACTGCTAAAATAGGGAGCCAAAGGCCCAGCAACAAACTTGGAACAACACCAAATGACCAGCTAGGATGCAGAACCTGCCCATAGGTTCAACCTCAACTGCAATGGCTTGTGGGTCAGCTTTTCTTCCCCTGTCTACAGGTATAGCTCACATGACCTCACGCCCTTTGGGCCCAATCTGTAGGGAGGGAAAGCCAACCTACACCACTCCACAACTTCCATCATCTGCACATCAGCTGGGGCACTTCACACAGACTGGTTCCCTAGTCACTGCTTCCATTTTTACCTCCATCTCACCCCCAGGTTCCCATCCCCTATTTGGCTAGTTGTATTTTTCAAACAGTATAATACACTCACAATTTTATGTGCTGAACCAAAACGGGATGACCTTTTCTTTACAGATCATTTTGGTTTTGCAGGAAAATACAATAAC